TAAATAAATTTGTCCTGCTAATGTTGGTGGCAACAAATCTCATTTTTTGTCATGATTAAGCTGATAAAAAGTAGTCCCTAAATTTAAACCATAAGCAAACTCTTTGCTGTTACATCAGTTCTGACTCAGAGCAATGCTGTTGGACAGAGTAGAACTGCCCTGGAGGGTTCCCAAGGCCATGAATTTTTAGAGTCAGACTGCTAGATCTGTCCCCTACAGAGAGGTTGGGGGAGTTTAAACTGATGAACTTGTGGTTAGCAGCAATGCAGTTAACTGCTGTGTCGTGAGGGCACCTTTTTTCCTCAGCTCTAATATCTTTTAAGAACTATTCCAAAGAGACTTTTAAAAATATCATGGGAACATTATAATTTGAGGGAGAGGAGAAATATTTTCCCATTTGTTTTAAGATGGGCAAATCTGTTTGAGAGGAATTGGAAGAGAATTAAAACCACTAATTTCAAAACGCTACCTTGTAAGGAGTTAAAATGTATACTGTACAACCTTTAGACATTTCCAAAGTAATTTTTAAAGGAATAGAATGTAGCCTGCTATATGTGGACCAATTACTTGTTTACAATAAGGTGACAGATTGTTAAAATTCCTAATTTATTTGAATTGACATATTTTTAATTTTTAGTTAATTGCTCATAATTCTAATATCACTCAGCATTATAAATATCAGCATAGGTTATGGAAGATGTTAGTAAATGAATGGATTCAACTTGCCTTGTTTCTTATCTTTATGTGTATGTGAATATATGTATGCAAAGAAATTTATGGCTACAACCTAGTAATAATAGGCTGACCATTTTCTTGTGTTAATTAGAATAACCCCAGAATTTCAGTTTCTCTGTAGAATCTAATTTTTATTCTGCTGATTTGTGAGAAAGTAATTGTTCTATCAACTAAAAAAAATTGATAATATTCACAAAATGAATGTTACATATATTTAAACCTGCTTGCTTTGTAATTCTGCCTTCAATTAAAATGGATAGTCAGTTTTATTTGATGGTGTTTAATCTCTTTTTTTCAACTCTTGTGGAAAATCTATTTGATAATTAAAATCTTGAGAGTGCCTTAGAAATTTCAATTTTTATGAAGCTTTATTATATAACTACAGAAAATATAAAAACCTATCTTGAACATAAATGACTGTAATCCTTACCCAGACCTTTCATTTTAATAAGCAAAAGGTAGGAACAGTTTTTCCTAAAAGTCCAGCAGTCTTCTCACTTTCTGTGTTCACTCCTTCATTCAGCAGATATTTATTTTATTTCTTTATATACCAGACTGTATTCTCTAACTGAGGTTACTGTGGTGAACAGTGCATTTTGTAGGGCTTCTATTATAATAAAAATGACCACTTTGAGTAATGATAAATGGTGTGAAGTACAGTGAACCATTCCAAACTTTATGTCCAGGAGTGCTGTGTTAAGTACGGCCACCTTGAATGAACAAGCCATGCAAATATGTGAAGGAGCTCTCAAATCCCTAGTGCTGGGGTAAGGTTTGGTGTTGGGGAAGTAGTAAGAAGGCCAGTGTAAGTGTAAGAAAATAAATGAGATAGAGCAGTAGGAGACAAGGTTTAAATTCATGGAAAAGGTTTAATTAATTATTTTTCTTTTTTCTATGTTGACAGGCCATATCTTAGTTCTAAATAAGCATGTTAGATTATGACACCAAGGACTGCTTCTTTATAATATAAGAATTAATATTCTCTTACATAGGAAAATCTACATTTCTTTCAGCACAGATGAGGAAAAAACCAGGATTTTTTATAATAATTCTTTCTGGACATTAAATAGGGATCAAGCATACTTGTTAAAAGCTTTTCCTTAAATGATACATTTTCAGTCTTCTTATTGTGCATGAATATTTATCATTATAGTTAGTCTATCTTAACTAAATAACAAGGAGATTTTTTGTTATTTGGGATGCTTAGTGAATGTATTCTTTTTCAATTTCCAGTTTAAAAATCATCAGATTAGTACAGTGTTACATATTTATCACCCAAATCCCTGTACTCTTTGTATAATTGACAATAGTAATACTCTACTTCTGGTGCAAGTTAGTCTTTTTAGATGAGAATTTACTATATAGCTATATCTGATGTTTTGAAGATTGTTGTTATGTACCATTGAGTTGGAACCAACCTATACCTGATCATCCAGTGGCTTTTCTGAGGCATAGAATTGCACAGAAGATTGTCCATCCTTCTCCCATGGAGCAACTGGTGGATTTGAACCACTTGCGTTTAAGTGGGCATTGCAACTCTCTTAACTGCTAAGCCACCAAAGCTCCCTTGTTTTGTTAAAAATACATAAATTATCAGAATACACACCCTTGTTATCTATCATATTAGACATGAATCATTGTTTTTAGGCCAGTTTTGTTATAAAAATTACAGGCCATTCCCAGATTACAAACATCCAGTTTAAGGACAATGCATACTAATTGCCCTTTCCCTTTTTATTTGTGATTGGAGTGAGCACAGTGGCTCTTCTCAGTAACTCATACACTTTGTTTCTGCACATTGGTTACAGCCGCAGCATTCCTCCTACCTCACCTCTTGCCAAGTGTTACACTTGGCTTGGCTTTTCTTTATGTCTGGCATGGCTGACAGTTGTAAAGTGTGTGTAACTCCTAGTTTTACTGATCATCTCATCGGTTGATGTGTTGTTTGGCTGGAGGTGAATCAGGGTGGTGATTTCAGTTCTAGGCTTGAAGGGGACTGTTGTGTTTTTAATTTTGACCATACTAATCACTGGTACCAGACTAACCACAAAAAGAGCCCAGGTCAGAAATGTCCTGAACATTCTATCATTGTCAACATTAACCCTCCGCCCCTCCAACCTCCCATCTGTGTTCTAGGGCTTAACAGCTCGTTCAGCATGGTTAGCAGTAGTCAAGTACCGTCTTGTTGTGGTCTCAGGGCCGTGGATACTGATGTTCACATGGTCCATTAGTCCTTTGGTCTTTAAGCTTCTTCACTCTTGTTTCTGTGCATGATGCAAAACCCTTGGTTGCACCTTAGTGGCTGCTAAAAAACTCTTACACCCCCGTTGCTACGCACCTAGAGTAGGATGTCGAACATTGTGGTCTATGCTTTGCTAATATACCTTGGTGTGCCCCGAGACTAGGAAGCTGTGGTCCTAACAACTCATTCTCTTAAGGTGTTTGGTTATAGCTAAGGAAGTTTGATAGTTTTGCCTCATTTATCTAGTATATGCATGGGTCTTTTTGTGTGTAGTCTTTGCACTGATTCTGCCATGACTGTTGAAACTAAACAAGAACAGACCATAAGATTTATAATTTAGATGATTAGGTTCATTAACCAGAACAGGAAAACTTAGAATCCAAAGCCCTAGCATGGGAGACATGAAAAGAGGTGTAGAGAGCCTGCTGCCTGAGACTGGCTTATTGGTAGTATATTGGAGAGCCACATATTTAAAGTGGCACCATCTTTGAAGTCCTGCTTAAATATTAGGGACGTTTGCCTTCATTATGAAGTGATTGAAACAAACCACTCCCACTGAGTTGATTCTGAGTCCGCAATCCTGTAGGACATAGTGAAACAACCCCTAGGGTTTGTAAGGCTCTGATTTTTGCAGAAGCAGGCTGCCACATCCGTTGCCCTCAGAGTGTCTCTCCATTGTGATGTTGCCTCTTATTCCAGTGGTGAGAATTTTCATTTTCTTGATCTTCAGATGTAACCCATACTGAAGTCTGTGGCTATGAGTTAGTTCTGATTTGATGGTATATAACAGTGACACCTGTTCAGTGGCCTTCACAGTTAGGAATGAACTGCATTCATAAGCTGGGGACTCCATGAAGCCATTTCTGTAGCATAACGTAGGATTTTTTTAGTGGCCATTACAGTGTTGCTTGGCTGACAAGTGGCCCTTTTCTTAACCGTTATGCTTAGTAACTATGTGTTTACTTTTTGATGGTAAGGAGAACTGAGGTGGCATCATCTGTTTGTTTCTATTCCTAACCCAAAGACAGGGTTTTTCTGAAGGTTTGCATCTACTAGCAGCTCCTCCAAGGAAAAATGGGCAGTCTCATTCTATGTCATTTGTAACTGTTAAATGAAAGATGATAGAAGGTCTGATATGAGGCAGAAGCATCTTCGATGGCAGTTAATGAGAATTGATAGTTACAGTAGCACATTCAGAGCTACAGTGCTACAGTGTGTGAATGTGCTTAATTTCTCGATCCATTTATTTGTTGATGGCCATGTGAAGTGTTCCCATTTTCTTGTGATGGTGGTGAATACTATGAACATAAGTGTACAGTGTAACATGTTTTTAACCCAGTCCATCAGTTACTTTAACTACCTCTCTTTAATGGCTACAATAAAGTCTTTTAGATTGTTGTTGTTGTTGTTGGTTGCTGTCAAGTCTCCAGCACAACTCATAGCAACCCTATGAACAAAAGCATAAAGTCTTTCTATAACTGTTGGCATTTATCAAAGTTCATAGAATTTCCAGAGGCATGTTGTTTAGGAAGTGGATGCCACTTGTTCTTAAAACCATGTTGCTGTTGCTGTGTGCCCTTCTGACTCGCGAGCCCAAAGGCTAGAGGAGCAATACCTTGTAGTTTGTAATCGTCTCAGCCCATTACCACATTCACTGTTCCATTGTCTGTATGATTGCTGTCAGTGGGGCCGAGTCAAGGGCTCTTAACCGCAGTCTCTGCAGGAGTAGATCACTGCATCTTACCTCCTGCACCTGTCTGGTAGTTTCAAACTACCAACCTGACCTTATTGTTCACAACTGAGCACTTATCAATTGTGTCAGCAAAGCTCCTGGTAAAACGTGAGCACTGGCAAGTGGGAATAGGCCTCACTGGCTCTCATGAAAAAGTAAATTTGCTTCTTCTTGTTTGAAATGGTTTTGTTTTTTGGTTACCTAATAGCCAAGATTAACCATTCCCTTGATCTCGAGTGACTGATTTGTGTAGACAGATGATAATCAGTGTGTGATGGTGCTTGTTTCCAGCAGGGAGGAGAGAGTGACAGCTTTTTCCACCCTGAGGGCCAGCCCCAGCGGCTTCCTCTGCCTCCAGACGGGAGACAGCAGCCCACCCGGAAGGTTACTCTAACCAAAGGGACTCTGCAACAGCCGCAGCACTCACCACTGGCTGCCCACATGCAACCTGCTATTCCTCCAGGAATCAAAAACATCCAAGGAATTCACCCGGCAAAAAAGGTACTGTTGAGTGTCTTCACAGTGGAAATATAAAAGTCTGGCTTCTATAGATAGTTGGACATCCCACTGATTAAGAACTCATTTAAATGAGTGGTTGCTGTTAAACAGTAGTGATAAACAGCCCTTGGTTTTCTTTGTTCTGTTTTTGAAAACATGTGGAAGTGTTCACAGTAGAACTTTGCCTCTCATGACTTTATAATGATGCACCTAGGGTAGTAAAATCAGACCTAAACAAGCATTTGCATGTTGCCTGAAGCTCTGGGCTGTCTACACAGCCACAGTCTCTCTATCCTTCTAAGGTAATGAAGAGCATTTAGCACACTAGCACTTTCCATCCTCTGTTCATGAATACACTGAAATGACCTCATAATCCTGATCCCAATTTATTGTCAAAAAGCCCACACGTTTTGGAGATTAATTAATTTACCCAAGAATGAGCCGCTGTAGCTTTGCCTAGAGCTCCATGCTGCCTTACTGATAATTGGCGAGGTTCTTGTTCTTGCTTTAGCTTTGTACCTTAGACAGTGAAGAAGCATGAGAATCCTGCCAGAGTCTTCTTTGCGTGGGGACTAGTGGTCTCCTTTTTTGTGTGATAAGTTTCAAGTCTTCTGGCAATTACACATTGATAATGAATCATGCCCCCCTACACCCACTCCAGGGAGGAGCATCTTTCCCCTTCTCCCAAAACCTTTCCATATGAGAAGAGGAACGGAGGAGGCGAATATACCTGTTTGGTTCAGAAGCCAAGATACTCCTCATTGTGATAGATCCTAGCGAGGTATTAAAAAGGACTTCATCACCTCCCTTTGAGTTTCTTCCAGGAAGACTGCTAGTTCATATTACTACTACTAATATTAAGGCTATCATGGGTCTTTAAATTGCTTTGTGTATATTATTTCAGTAACACTTTTTGTTGTAAAAACAACCAAAATTCCATTTTTTGTAGCAACAGCCCAGAGGTACAGACACAAATTAGGTACTCTGTTGCAATAGAGTCTCTAAAAATAGTTTGAGTTTAAAATTTTCTTTTTTCTAACGTTATCCCTGAATAAATCATGATAAAGACCCTAATGAAAAGACACCTGTTGTTGTGTTTGTTATGTGCCATCAAGTCACTTGTGACTCATAGTGTCCCTATGTACAATAATAGCTCTGCACCTTGCACTATCCTGAGCCAGTCTCACTGTACCAGACATACCTACCCCCATTACTCCATTTACCATATCAGTTTATCTCATCCTGGGTCATCGTCTCTTGCACTGTCCCTCCATCCTTCCAACTGTGATGTCCCTCTCCAAGGACTGGTTGGAAACGTGCCCAAAGTATTTGAGACAGAGCTTCAGAATCCTTATCGAGAGCAACTTGGTTTCGCCCTCTCCAGGACAGGCCTATTTGTTCTTGTGCAGGCATGGTGTATTCAGTACTCTTCTCCAATACCACAACACAAAGGCATCAATAATCCTTAGTCATTGTCCACCTTTGTGATGCATAGCAAATAATTGCGAAGACCATGGCTTGGATCAGGCACACCTTGGTCTCTAGACTGATGTTGCTCTGCAACACTCTGGAGAGGTCACTGTCATCAGATTTTCCCAGTGCAATTCATATTTTGATTTTCTGACTGCTGATGCCACAAGTGTCAATTGTGGAACCAAGCAAGCTGAAATTGTTAAGAAAAGTATGGAGATAGGCAACATCCCTGACATACACCTTTTCTGATCTTGAACCATATGGTGTTTTCTTGCTCTGTTCTGAGAACTTTTTAGGTTCTGTGTAAGCACAATTAAGTGTTCTGGGATTTCCATTGTCCTCAAGGTTAGCTACAATTTGTTGCAATCCACACAGTCAAATGCCTTTGCATAGTCAATGAAACACAGATAGACATTCCTCTGGTGCTCTGTGCTGTCAGCTAAGATCCGTCTAACATTGGCTATAATGTCCCTAGTGCCGTGGCCTCTCCTAAACCCTGCTTGACATCTCATCTGGCAGTTTTTTGTCGATGTACTGTTCCAGTTGGTTTTGAATAATCTTCAGTAGGATCTTACTTTGTGCTCCAAGTGGGAGATAGTGAGATTGGCAAGGGATACAGAAGGGTTTAGGGCTGTTGTACATAGCGTCACTATGAGTTGCATGTGACTCAACAGCATATAACAACAGCAGGATCTTGCTTGTTTATGATTTTAATGACACTGTTCAGTAATTTCCACACTCTGTTGGATCACCTTTTTTTGGAATGGTAATAAATACGGATCTCTTCCAGTCAATTGGCCAGGTAGTTGTCCTCCAGATTTCTTGGCAAAACCTAGTGGCTGCATCTGTCTGTTGAAATATGTTATCAATTCCTTTTCCCATCATATTGGTGGGGAAGCACTTATATATTCATACATAAAGTACTTGAGTTTCTTTATTTTGGGTTACTCTCCTGTAACATGAAAATAATATTTTCCATCTTATTTGGCTGTTGTGAGAATTCTGTAAGAAGATATGTATTGAAAGCATGGTACCTTTATATTTGTATATAAAAATCAACAAATGCACATAAGGAAACTTGGTAGAAGATAGATTGTTGTTGTTGCTATTAATATTTTAACTGATTATTAACACTGCTTTTTAGTGGGGACTTTAAATGCTTACTTTCAATATGACTACTCTAAAAATAACCCTGTACACATTTCAGAAACTTTCTTCAGAGGAATAATTTTATCCTTCAGAGTATTAAGGCATGCTGTGATTTTGTGGTAGTTTATCTTTTTATTGATGCCCATTCACATCTTAGAGTCAGATTTCCTTGTCATTTTCTCTGTATTCTTTTTTATGACTGTTGAGTCATATCTTCTATCTAGTCTGGAATGGAATTATTGTAGAATATGAAGCATATCCAGTGTAATTCTGTTTTAGCTTCTGTGTTGCATTACTGCCCTAAGCTGGAGCAGGTCTAAGAGCACTTGGGCACAAGTACTTTATCTCATTATTTATGTAGGGGGAAAAAAAATACCAGAATTGTCCTTCTCTTAAAATATAAAATTATAGGATTTTTTTAAGATTCTGAAACCATATGTTTTAATCTGGTGTAACTTTTTTTTAAAAAAAAAATTTATTTTATTTCATTATTTTTTGTGTGTACCGTCAAATCAGATATGACCTGATACAGGAGGAGATTTTCCCTCCTTCTCCAGCAGAGCATCTAGTGGATTTGAACCATGTACCTCTGAGATTGCAGTGCAGCTTCTTGCCACTAGGCCACCAGAGCTCGCCAATCTGGTACAACTTTTAAAAGTACTAATGCTTACCTCTCACCTTAGACCAGTTAAATCAGAATATTTGGTTGATAGATCACAGTGATTTGCATTTTTTTTTTTTAAAAAAAAAAACTCTGCTAATGACTTGAATGTAAAACCTTATAATAGAATCTCATTTCAGGTTTTCAGCCTGCCAAATATGAATATTCACAAGTTAGATATGCGGTATTTTGGCTTGTGACTATAAAATCATGTATACTTTTGGAAAGTGAATTTACTAGCATTATACATAATATTCACCAAGTCCTTGTTGAAAATGTACAGGACTTTCTGTAGTGGAATCTTTAACAGTGGTTAACTGTAAGTATCTTAACACAGTTATTTTTATCTATAAAATAATTAAGGCATATTAAATGTCTGCTGCTCCAATTGCTTGGCACTAAAATAAAGGCAAACTTACCTAATTTTAATTTTTCTTTTTCCCTATCCCTAGATTTGCTGAGTATTGTTTGATAATCTCAGGCATTAAAACATTTTTCTGATACAGGATGGAAAACTAGAGAATATTCTGTTGCTTATGGTATATTTTAATTGACTCTATGTTAATTGCTCAGTTGTGTATCTTAATTTTGAAAATGGTTGACATTCCAAAACCAGAGTATAATTGCTTTTTGTTGCTGCCAGGTCATTATGTACGGGAGAGGGAGAGGAGTAGCAGGTCAGATGGGTCGAGGACGTCTCATGCCAAATAAGCAGAACTTGCGAGTGGTGGAATGCAAGCCTCAGCCCTGTGTCGTGTCTGTGGAGGGACTTTCTTCATCAACAACTGATGTCCAGTTGAAGAACCTGCTCATGTCCGTAGGACCCATCCAGGTAGAACACTGGGTTTTTCTTTCTTGCTCAAGTGCGTCAGTCCCCAAAGCTAACTTCTTGATTTTAAGTGCTATGGTCTTTGTATTGGCCATTTTATAAGAAAATATTACAGTTGAAATGAAAGATAAATTTCAGATCTATTGTGCACACTTGATGTCAGAACTTGCTTTACAAATTATCCTTTGAAACCTTGCACACATACACATGGATTTTTGTTGTTGTTGTTGTTACTGTCTTTTTAAATGTTTTGGTTGAAATAATTTTTTTAGATTTTAAAATACTTAGCTTTATTATCATCATTCCTTTTCAAACACACATGACAACATCTGTGGAGCTTCATTTGTATTTTATAAATATGGCAGCATCTTGGACTATATTTTGGCCTCTTGATGTTTGCCATCAAGTTGGAACCCTCCAGCAGGTTTTCGGAGGCAGTTTGCTGGTCTTCCACAGAGCAGGTGATTTTGACCTGCGTATCTTTGGGTTACAGTTCCTTACCACTAGGCCACCAGAGCTCCCTAATTTTAAAACTATCTAGCACTAATGCTTAACATTCTGACCTGGCTGCATATAGACCTCTATTGCTATTGTAAACAAAATTTTCCCTGATCTTTACAGCTTCTAGACTCCAGTTGCAGTGAGTCAGTGAAGGAGTGTATTGAGTTAGTTTTCCCTTAGCAGGCTGTCAGGTCGGTCTCTCTCTCTCTCTCTCTCTCTCTCTC